CCCCCCCCAAATTAGTTTCCATCTCCGATAGGACCGAGTCAATTGGGTGGAGAGTCTTAAAATTCCACAAACAACCAAAGTTTGGAACGCCCCATTGAGTATTCAAACCAGGGCCATGTGCTCCGTGGTCGAGCATGATCATCATCATCCAGTGCCAGATCTGCGACAGACATCGGCGATCATGGTTCTCCATTCATTCCTTTGCTCGGATGCTCTTAAAAAAGCCACGTTTCCCTGGCCTTTCCCTGTTACCCATTTGTTTTAGGTTCCCTAAATATGTTGTTCTGGGCCTACCCCTGCCTCGTTTGTCCTCAGTTTTGCCCGTGAGAGTTAAATGTTCAAGACCCTTATGCCTATTCAGGTGTCCCAAAAACTGCATTTGTCTTTTTCCTGATTGTTGTTAAGATTGAGCGTCCCTCGTGGGCTTCATCAAGCACTACCTCATTTGATTTTTTTTCCTTCCACGATACTCTTAGCAGTCTCCTAAGAAACCACATTTCTGTGGCTTCTATTTTATTTTCACTGTTTTTAGTGATCGTCCAGCATTCACAGCCATATAGAAGGGTTGACCAAACATAGCATTTCAGAACTTTCATTTTGGTGTCCTTTGAGATGGTTCTATTTTTCAGGATTGGGTTGATTTTTATTGAAACTAGCCTTAGTAATTGTAATTCTCCGTTTTATTTCTGTGGAACATTTGGCATCAGAATCAGATGTTATCCTAGATATTTAAACTGTTGGACTTGTTTGATCTTGTCACCTTTGCTAATGAGATTACAGCTAGGATTTCCTGCTTTTTATAAATATGACCATGCATTCTGGGTTTTTTCTACATTCAACACTAATCCTTTACGTTCACTTTCTGTTACAACAGTATCTAGGAGCAATTGAAGGTCCTTTTCTGAGCCTGCTATTAAAACTGTTTCATATGCATACCTGATGTTAATAATATTTTCTCCCTTTACTTTGAGACCTGGACATTCTTCTATGTTTCTAAGGATTGTTAAAGAGGTCTGGTGACACAACACACCCTTGCCTCACTCCTCGCCTAATCTGTTTATATTCACTGTATTCTCCATTAACTCGTACAGCAGCAATACCAACTGAAATAACAGCACACCCATCTCAATCAGTGCATACCAACTGAAATAACAGCACACCCATCTCAATCAGTGCCGATCTGGTGTGGTCTGTTCTTTCTATTGCTTTCTCTGAGTCTCTGTGTGTGTGTTTGTCTGTGCGCGCGTGTGTGTGTGTGTGTGTCTCTCTCTCTCGCTCGCTCGCTCGCTCGCTCTCTCGCCCCCCCCCT